AGTCACATTAGATGGCATTAACACAATGCATAGATCTGCTGTTGACATGAGTAGATTATTACCAAGCAAGAAGTTTTCATGAGCCCGATTTGGACGGTAATTTTTTCTCATGGGGACGTAAACTATTTTTTTTTTTTTTTTTTTTTTTTTTGTTTTTTTTTTTTTTTTTTTTTTTTTTTTTTTTTTTTTTTTTTTTTTTTTAAATTGGCGTCTGAATCCAGAATGTCTGTTTTTCTCCCACCATCCACATAAAAATCTCCGGCCGAAATACCTACTGTTTTTTGAGAAAAACCAAGGTTGTGTTGTAATTTAATTGCAATCTGAATCCACATCTCTAACTTTACAAGAAGAAATCGATTCAAAATTCACCGTTAAATCCCTTTTGACCATTGCCAAACGCCGTATGGTAACTGTTGCACTTTGCCGTACTTTGCATGCATATTTATTACTGAAATTCTGGATAGTATTTACAAGGACAATATTTCATAACTGCTCCACCACAGCGAGTGGGAGCTGTTAAGAACTAAAAGAAGAACAAGAACAGCATGTAAACATTTGAAATGGGTCAATATTATGGCAGCAACAGGCATGCAATATAATTTTAAAATATGTATTATATATTTATTATATACAATTGTATACATGTATATAAATTATGTACATAAACCAAGCAGCTTTGTTTACCTTATTTAAATAAGTGGTTGCATTAACTTATTTCTGCTAATCTCTGCGATTTTAATACATTTTGAGAGAGAAAATGCAAGACAGAAAACCATTTAAACTATAGTGCATCTTTTTCTATTTGTAAACGGTAGATTTAAGTAATCAAATAATAAATAGGATATTATTTAATATGAATTTATTCTTATTATTCCCAGCGTATGACATTTTATTTACAGCAGTCGACAATCATGCAACTGGCCACGTGAGCAGTGCGTTCCCGGGTTCGTAGGATCACAGAGCTCGCTTCTCCACTATGAATAAATCGCCATATGAATCTATGGTTTTTATCACTGAGGTGCCATGTAAATGTATTTATACAGACGTTCACATGAAATAATTACCGTCTGAATAGGGCTATGGATTGATTTTGTGTTCCCTTAAAAGGCCCACCAGGCACTTTTCATGTTCCTTTCCACTTGGCAGCCATCTTGATAACATCCCTGAGTAGTTGTTTTGTAGTGATACACAAGTACAGCTCCTTTCTGTTTTACTCCGGATTAGCTTGTTAAGCTTGCTTTTCTATAACGTCAAATAGCCAATAAAAGCTGACAAAAGTATGAGGCTTTTCCTACAGTTGAGTTCCAGATATTTTAGGGCATTTTTTTTCTTCTTTTTTTTTCCTTCCATTTAATTTTTCTCCTGTCATACTGTCCTTGGAGTAGCTTAATTACTTCTAACTTAAAGTTAGCTTCCTTTACACTGTTGCTATAAAGGTTTTAAAGCACAATCACCATTTCAGTCCTGCTTAAACAATTTCATCATCCTTCAGTCTTGATCTAATAAGTAAACCGTTTAAAATGCCATTATAGTAGCAAGTGTTGTTTGATACTGTAAATTAAGTTACTGTGTGTACTTTAAGGCTATGGAGCTGCTGGTGGAGAAGGCCATCAGCAGTGCCTCTGGACCAATGAGCCCAGGAGATGCTCTGCGAAGAGTCTTTGAATGCATTTCCTCAGGCATTCTGCTGTCTGGTAAGATGGGGCACTCTGATATTGTCTTAATACAATTCCCATAAAATGTGTCTTGATTCTGAGGTGTCTGTAGACCTACTGTAATGTGCATTAGTAATCTAGCTTTTATGTTGGCATAGTGAAAAAAAACTGAATTCCTAAATTTGTCTTTTTTTTTGTGAATGTAAACCATTTTAATGGTGTGAATTACTAAGAGTTGTCTTTTTAATTTGCTAACAACTTTTTATTGTTGCATAAAAATTCAACTTGAAAATCTAGATCTGGGGTCTCCAACCCTGCTCCTGCAGATCCTGCAAATTTCAGCTCCAACCCCAGCTCGCAAACACGCCTGAAGCTGTTAATCAAGCTATTCAGAGATGCTTGATAATGACAGGCAGGTGTGTTTGATTGGGGTTGGAACTGAAGTCTGCAGGACGGTAGCTCTCCAGGAGCAGGATTGGAGACCCCTGATCTAGATACTCATAGGCCCTGTCCACACGAACGCGGTTATTTTTAAAACCGCAGCTTTTTCTACACGGTTAGGCCGTTCGTCCACACGCAAACACAGCACCAGTTCACTGAAACCGAACATTTTTGAAAACGCCTGCCAGGGTGAAGATTTTCAAAAACTCCGGTTGCAGTGTTATCGTGTAGACAGCGAAACCGGAGTTTTTGGCTTGTGATGTCGGAGCCTGCATTGTTATCTCCGCCTACTAGAGACTTTTTCAGGATTCTGATTGGCCAACATGGCTTTACGGTTGAGATTATATCGCCACCTGTTGGTTTGGCATGCTCTTGACAGTGCTTCATAGCATGCGTTTGCGTTTTCATGTGGACGGAGATTTTTTTTTTAAGACGGTAGAAGGAAAAAACTCTTTTATAAAAATACGTGTGGACATGGCCTAATACTCTTTTGTGCTTTTCTGTGTAATGCAGGTGCTCCAGGATTGATAGACCCCTGTGAGAAGAATCCAACAGATACACTGGCTACCATGGAAGAGCAGCAGAGAGAGGACATTATGTCAAGCGCTCAGGTAATGTACAGTAACTGCTTGAGGAATGTTTGCAGTGCTTGAAATGTCCTGCAGTGATTCCATTTAAAACTATTTCAAAATGTTTTCAATAATTGCAAAATTATGCATGCCATTTTTATAGCCTCATATTAATCGAGAGAGGTAAATGTAAATCGATTAAATTTCTCCTTTCTCCACAGTTTGCCTTGAGGCTGCTGGCGTTCCGTCAGATTCACAAGGTTCTGGGTATGGATCCCTTGCCCCAGATGAACTCGCGCTTCAACGTACGGAATAACCGCAAGAGGCGTCGCGACAACAGTGACGGGACCGATGGATTCGAAGCTGAAGGGAAGAAGGACAAGAAGGACTACGAGGGGTTCTGAAGTGCACCACAGTACAACTAGCCCTGCTCTCCCTGCACCCGTTTCAAATCCTGTTCATTCCAGGAATACAAAATGTTGTTTCTGTTGACCTCTGTGCATGATGATTACTACTCATTAATGTTTCTAAGAGCTGGTAAAGACCTATTGATGGCCACTTGGGGAAATGCCAAGGCTTAATTTCCTTGACACATAGACTGTGGTCCATCTCATTTATTTAGTCTGGTGTCTCTGCATAAAGATTTGAGATGTGCACAAACCAAGAGAAGTTAAGCCTAAAGTTCATGCTCCATTCAGCACATTGGATGTAATCATTCACCATCTTCAGATTTCTTACGAGTGTCAGACTAGGCATTTGTAGAAGTCTGGGCTGCGTACTTGTGTCAGTATGGAACAGATTCTTTCTTTAAAGTCTATCTTACCCTTCCAGTCACACATGTAAAGTAACTTTGGCAATGGCTTCCTTGGTTTTGCAATAAATTGTTTAGGTGTTTTTGCAGCTTATTTTGTTTAGAGACATTCCTCTTAAAACCACTTGATTGAAGATAAAACGATTAATGCGATGCGTTAGTCCTGTGGTGATGAATGTGATGTTGACTGGATGTGGATTTATACAAGCATGTGTTTTCCATTGCTAGTGCATTCTGAAGGCTGGGTTGGCTTTTAACCATTTGCACATTTGTCAATATCCTTGAAACATCTTCAGATCCTTGTTCCTTCTATATGCTTAATGCAAGTGATGTAAGGCTGCACTTGTCCCAAGTTAGGCTGTAAAGTGTGCTCTGATATTCACAGGCCTCTGTGGTGTAGCTGTATCACATTTCTGAAGACACTGACCATTGAAATCAGACCTGGGCAAAATACCATAAGCATCTATCAATTGTCTCTATAAATTTAATAAGGAATCTTGAGTTACCAGTCCATTTCACATCAGTTATTCACACAAGGAAGTATTCAAGCAGTAAACATTTGTTCTTTAAGGTCAAATACTTTTTTTTTGGTTTGTGTTCCTTTAGAACTAGTAATTGGCCCAGGTCTGCCTGTGTTTTGTGTTCATAATGTTGTAAACCCTAAATGTATCTTTAAATGTGACTGTATGATCTCTAATATACGATCATTTAATAAGCCTGTATCTAATCTTGCAGTAGATCTTCAGAAACAAATGCCTGTATGGTTTTAAAGCACAGGAATGTGTTCTTTTTTTTTCTTTTTTTTAATGTTCTTTGTTTTTATGGATTTTGTTTTACTGATTTATAGATGCATAGTTGCTTGCCCTAATTTTGGTTTCTGATTTGAGTTTGTTGAATATCTATTGAAGAAGATGGGAGGGACACAAGTAAAATATCTGTTGTAACTGCAGATTGATGTAGACTTACCCTTTGATGCTTGTCATTCGATGTCAAGGTACTACTACATTACAATGCCTATAATAAAGACATTTCCAGAATGATTTGTCTCCTTTCTTTCTTTCTTCCTTTCTGTCTTTGTATAACTGAAATAAAGGTAGAGTCATATTCAGTCAGTAGTTTAATTTAATATTATCAAAGAGTATCTTTCGATATTTCAGTATGTGTAATTCACTGATTAAGAGATTCAAGTCCAGTTATTTGTGCATGTTAGTTCTAGATTGCCTCGCAGGTGCTTGATTGTCTTTCCTGTTGTTTATGCTAATGAGGAACTACTTAGTCTGTGCACAAATAAGGGAAAACACTAGACGCGCAACCATAAGGCAAAGAAAATAAACTTCAGAAAGCGCACGTGTAGTCAGTATATAAACGCTTCAGGGCGTAGGCTATTTTCAATACGATTGAATTCAATACTTATTGGTTCGGCAATGAGGAAGCGCATGAGATTGACAGCCGCGCCATCCAATGAGCATTAAGCGACTTGCGCTGACCAGCTCAGAAAACGGGCAGCTCGTCCATAAGAACCAATGATGTCGAACGGGCGCGGTTTGCTGTCTGAGCAGGTCTGCCTTCCAGCCAAAGGAAATCGCGCTTGTGAAAGGAGAGGTGGAGAGTGAGCGAGCAGAGAGGGAGAGGAAAGTTGGGCTGCTCGAGCTCCCCCGGATTTCCACCTGACTGCTCAGGAAGCGGGATACTGGGACAGGCAAAATGTTGAGTTTGGGCAGCGTAGGAGCGAAGTCTACTAAACCGTCATTCGTGTCTTATGTTACACCCGAGGTAAGCGAAAGCTTTCATGCAGCATTATACTTACGTTGTTTTCAAAACAACCCGGAGACACTGAATTGTACTAAAACAGGAGTTGAAAGCGCGGACCGTCATGCGCTGGGCGGGGTTGAGTCCCATGCTGATGCTGACGTTGTTGACTTTATTCAAGTTTTTTTGGGTATGTTTCGTTCACATGGGGAAATGCATTCACAGAGCAGCAGTGTTTTTTCATTCACTTACCTCGAAGTTTGACGAATGAATTTTAGTTTTCTGGACTTGCCAAAAGTAGTTGTGAAGTGTGGTTGTAATCCAGGTTATTGAATGATTTTATGTTTATTGACACGAGTCACGAGTGTCTTCATTTTGCTCGGACATGTGATGCGTTTGAAGTCCATTCACGCATAGGGCGTCCCATTAGAATAGATTTCATGGGTTGTGTCATGACCCATTGATGGCCAATAGAGTTCATGCCTTTATTGTTCATTAAAGAAAGCATGATGGAAAGAATGGTTGTACTCAGTATAGAAACAACGTGAAGATGTAAACCCTCTATTTTCACTGTTTTCCATTTTATTCAAGAAATTAGTGCATTAAAAAAACATTACAAGACCAAAAAAATCATACAGTAGTAGAGATTTAAAGGAAAACTGTCATTATTACCCTTATGTTGTTCAAAACCTGCATGATTTTCCCTATTCTGTGGGGAAGTTATTTCATTTTGTGTAGCTCTGAACAGTAGAGCATGGCGCTCGCAACACCAAGGTCATGGGTTCGATTCCTAGGGAATGTGTGAACCGATTAAATGTATAGCTTGAATGCAAAAGAAGTCACTTTGGATAAAAAAAAGTATCTGCCACATATGGAATGTAAATGTTTTAGGCAGAATGACAGTTTCAGTCGCTGTTAAATTTCATTGTATTAAAAAATACAGTGAAAATGAGTGATGATTGAGGCTGTTGTTCTGCCTAACATCTCCGCCAAGATGGGAAGTTATACCGGTATGAAACAACGTGAGGGTGATAAATTATGATGAGCTGTTCCTTTAAATAAATGCAGAAAGATCTGTGGCCTGGTGCATAAACTACTTAGACTAGTCATAAAAGTTAGTATGTTTTTTTTTTTCTTCAGGACTGGTCATAAATTAAGGTCAATTACATAAAAAAGTACTTTTTTTCTAACTACTAGTTAGTCAAACTTAAGACACAGTCTTAACACGGTGTCAATGTTTATGCAACTGGCCACTGGTCTTCTGTGAAGAGTTCAGCTGATTTCCTCTCTGAAGTTCAGAAACAGGGGGCTTAGTCGGATCTCACAGCATTCTCCCCTCATTTTTGTTGGCTTGATATTAATGAAGACCCGCTGTGATCCATTTTTATGTCTAGCAAAATTAACATAAACGGAAAGACCATGTGTTTTTAATGTCTCAGGTTTCAAAAGCAAATTTTAAGAGAATGTTTTCTCCCCCAGGATGTCATTAGGGAAAGGAGTGTCTCAAATACTTGGGACTGTTTGTGAAGTTTTGGCTGTTGTGTTTTGCAGCTGACCTCATGGTAGCCAGGATGCTTGGTGGCTTCCTTTCCTTTATTTATCCTGTTTGATTCAATGGAACTTCTACAGTTTTTACACATTGCCATTAGTTTATTGATTTTGCTGTTTTCTGCAGCCTCTTTTATCTGTTCGAACCAGTAACAAGGGAAGTAGCCTGATTGTTATTTTAAAGTTGCAAAGCATGCCTTGTGGATATCACAGGGCTTCTGCTAAAATTCATGGGGCCAGAGACACAGTTATTATGGGTAGAGGATCTTAGTGGGCTGAATTTTGCTGTACAGTGCTGATGTTGTTCAATTTATTTTAGTTCTCATTATATTTCTTGTATATTACACTATAATCAAATGTTAAAGGGATTGTTCCACAAAAAATGAAAATTCTGTCATTTACCTATCTGTTGTCATTCCAAACCTGTGACTTTTTTCTTGTCTGTAGAACATAAAGTAAAAGAGGATATTATGAAGATTTCTCAGTGTTTTTTTTTCTTTCTCTCTCCATATAGCGGATGTCACTGGACACCAAAACTGGTTACCACCATTCTTCAAAATATCTTCTTTCGTGTTAAAAATAATAAAGAAAGTCGTACAGGTTTGAAATAACATGAGGATGAGTAATAAATGACAGTGTAGGTTTCTCATACCTACTTATATTCTCATATGTACGATAGCAGCAGTTGGAGTTTTCATTACGGAGCAGATGTCCTGTGGAGGCATCTAGACTTCAAATATTCACTTACTCAGCAGCAGCACACTCAGTGTGTGAAATGTGGCATGATGTGTTTGACATTATATTGCTATATAGTACTTGTGAAAATGTCATTTAGTAAGATATTTTATTAGATAATTAATCACGTTTACAGTTTTTACTTTAATTTTATTGCTTCTGTCTTCTTAAGGAAATAAAATTGGAGAAAGAACCACCAAAGATAGAGAAACATCCCGATTTGCTGCCAGGTAAATACGAAATCCCTTACACAATGTTTTGCTCTCTCAGGTTTTTCTTTGGCTTATTGTAAGTAAATCTTAAATATTTTTTTGTGTGTCACTTGTACCCTGGGTGTAAATTTCAATTCAGACTTTAATAATTGCTCTCTAATTCAGATGGTAGATTCCAAAGATCTCATTTAATGTAATCAGAGTGATTTTGCAGATACAGAAAAGTGGGTAATATACTAAAACACTGTCTGCATTTCTTTAAAGCTCTGCACACCACAAAACTGACCTGGAACAGCAGCCTGGGTTGTTGGCATTGTATTTATTCAAACTAACATGACTGTTATTCTGTTGCTTCTTAGGTGAAGTGGAGTTCTGTAGCGCCAACCCCATTCTCAAATACACTCAAGATGATATGTCCCAGCGTGGCATCTTTGGCACATTGTTCTGCACCAATTTTCGTGTTACATTCATTAGTGATGAGAAATCACAGGAGGAGACGGTAAGGATTGGTGACAGGGCTCAACAAACCCTCCTGTTCTGACACAATCTCATGTGAAAGCAGTACTGTAGTATTTTACTAATTTGTACGAATTTGATTCATACAAAAATGTAAAAAAAAAAAAAAAAAAGAAAGTATGAAGGTCCAACCCTAAACCTAACCCTCAGTGGGACGTAAGCAAAGTGTACAAACACTGATGACATCATACGAATTTGCCACCAATTCACAGAAACGTAAAATTGTTACAAATAGTAAAATTGAGAGTTTGTCTGGTAGACCAAAATAATCAACACATGAACACTGTATTCAGCTACATGGCCATATGTAATGGTAATTGACATCTACAATGCTGTCCCCTAAGAAACCATCTATAATTTGAAATTCAACCAACCAAAGAACCACAGTGTTTATTTTAAACATCATGTACTTCCTGTATGTAGACTGCAGCGTTTTTGTACATGTAGTGTGGTTGAAAAGAAGATCATGTGTGTTAGATGTTCATACAATGGTAGTCTGTCTTAATAATAAGAATGCTATTAATTAGGGTTGTCTATGAATTACATCTTTTATTTTTATTAAAAGTGTCCTGTTTGAAAAGCTCATTTCTCATTCTGTGGGCATGACTAAATGTGTTAAAGGGGTCATATGATGCGATTTCAATTTTTCCTTTCTCTTTGGAGTGTTACAAGCTCTTGGTGCATAAAGAAGATCTGTAAAGTTGCAAACACTAAAGTCTCAAATCCAAAGAGATATTCTTTATAAAAGTTAAGAGTCAGCCACACCTACCTAAAACAGCTCATTCTAACACGCCCCCACATACCTACGTCACGATCTGGGAAGATTTGCATAACGCTGCCCAAATGTTCACGCAAAGAAAGAAGGCGTAACTTTTATTCTCACTGTAGTATTGTTGACGCTGCAGCCATGTCCTGAATACGCTGTGTGCTTCGTTGTGAAAGCGAAACTACTCTGTTTGGTCTTCCAAAAGAGGACGATATCCGCTTCCTCATGCCTGGAGCTGATCTGTGCTGGTCGCTGAGGGACTCTTTTCAAGCTCTGCATAAACACATTTCATTACACCAAATACACAAAATAATGTTCTTTTTAGCAGCATCATATGACCCCTTTAATATTTTTATTTGAACTTGTTTTTATTAGTAATTATGCTAAATGAACACATTAAAATGACACTAAAATAGTTTTGTAGGATTTATTGTGCTAAACAGCTATGCTTAATTGAAACAGAATAGTGATGCATTTCATGCACATGGAAAAAATTGGACCTGAGTGGTAGATTATAGAGAACATTAATGTCTTGAATTACGGAGTTGAATAAAGTTGAATTACTGCATTGAAAATCAGCATATTTAGGTAAATTACAGTGTACAGGAAGAATTTGTTGCTTCGAAATAGCAGATCTGTAATGCTTAATTTATTTTGGCTATAAAATGGCTATGTCGGCTCCTGTATGATAAATAGCTTTTCCTTGTTTGTTAGTCAGGTTTGGATAAACATTTCTTCTTATAAAAATAAATAAATAGAAATAGAGTAAATACAAAAGGTGTGAATACAGTCAATCTTTGTTGGCCTTGAAACACTGGGTGTATTAACTAAAAGAGCGTTTGCCAAACTGCATGCTTGGTAATCTTGCATGAGGAACTGTGCTCTCACTTTAGCTGCCATTTCAGGAACTTGAGTGCCTGACTCACTGGCAGTGAAATTCTGGTGGGAAACCAGTGTGTTAGAGCAGCCTCAGATGGTCAGGTATTCATGAAGTGCCAGGTGCTCTTGTTTTCAGGGTCTTTTTTTTGGCTTGTTGAGGTCTGTATACCAAATAAGATCAGTATATAGGCCTAGATGTTACTAATCTAATCAGTGATCTTAAAAAGCTGCAAAACGTGTTGTTGCTGAAAGCTAAATTTGGTCAGATGTCATTGTTAGTTGGTATCAAGAGGTTTCATAGGCTACTTTCAGACTTATATTTGAGGGTGGTTAACAGGAACTGAAGTGTTTCACACTTGATTTCACAAACAAATTATTGTGTGAAAGCTTGATACAGCACACTGAACAAGGCAACAGTGTCTGGCTTTCCTGTTAGTTATGGTGTGCAGTGTAAAAGCGCACCTTTCACAGATGACTTAGTATTTGTTAATCACTGTCTTTCATAATCATTGCTTACTTTGGTGTTGTCTGCATTGAGAAAGAGGCTGTTGTGTCACTCACCTTTGTTACAGACCAAGACCTTTAAGAACAAACTCTATGGAGAAAATGACATTCCATTAATGTGCGTGGATCACATCTATGGTGGTAATAATTGGTTTTAATTTTTATCATTATTAATGATTATAGATCTGTACAGGTGTAAACAATGAGCAACAATGAGATTTTTCTTGGGAAAGCTTTTTGGTTTGAATGTTTGAGTTCTGAGAAACGTTTCGTTTCTTTTGAAGTTTACGATGAAAAGAAAAAACTGATAACAGGAGGCCTTGTGAAGAACAAATATCCATCCAAAATGATCATTCACTGTAAAGACCTACGAGTCTTTCAGTTCTGTCTGACATTCACCAAGGAGGAAGATGCCAAAAAGGTATTTTTTTTTACACGAGGACTGAAATGTATATGTACAGTACATTGTACAGTGGGTTTCACATCTCCTTGTGCTTTTATTTGCTTGTTCTTTCAGATCTTTCAGGGTATTGCTCACCATTGTTTGGAGGAGAAATCTCTGAAGTGTGTCTTTGCTTTTTCCTATTCAGGGACACCAAGCCCAGGTACAGAGTTATCTTCTTGTAGGGGCTTTCATTGTGTTGTGTTGTGTTGCTGTTGTTACTTTTCAGTTTCACTTGTTGATGTAAATACAGCTGATGTCTGAGTTCTATATTCTTATGTTGTTGATGTGTATATTTAACTGCTTTTGAAATGACATGCCTCCAAATGCAGCAGCAACCAAAACCAGTAATTCACCAAACACATGGAACTGCTTATACAACATAAGGGAAAATATCACCTTGAGAAGTTCATGAAGTCGCACTTAAGCAGAACATGAACTTTGCACACATCTGAAATGCAGCTCTGGTCTTGTAGCACCAACTGCTAAATTCCGATCATAGTCTCTGCAACTGGAATGCAACAGATGGCCGAAAGAACAACAGTCATTATTTCTTTTTAGACATCATAATGTAATTTATTCCTGTGATGCAAAGCAGCAGCCATTACTCCAGTCTTCAGTGTCACATGATCCTTCAGAAATCATTCTAATATGATGATTTGCTTTTTTTTATTATTCTCAATAGTTGTGCTCCTTAATATAATAATGAAGGATAGTTTTACATTTGAAATGCCTTAAACTCTCATTAGTCAACTCTGGAACGACAACAAAAGCCGTTTTTTATGTCTGCAGAAATGCAGAGGAAACGGGAGACAATTCTGTTTGACTCACCAGAGGACTGGACCCAGGAAATGAAACGGACGAGGGCGAACTGTAGACTAGTCACTGAAAACGTGAACTTTGAACTCTCTCAAAGGTACTTTATTAGACACTTCACAGCCAACATCAGCAGCATAAAGTGTTACTATTATTTGAATTACAAGGTGCATGTTCCGTAATGGAATGTGATCTCTAATCTATGTTTATATGTGCTACTGACCTAGATTGTTATAAGAGCCATCCTACGCTGTTTATATTTGGGTAGTTCACAAAAAACCAAACATTATTTTAGGTGATGGAACTACCCACTATTACATTTTAATCCCCTTTTAGCAGTTAAATAGACCTGAAAAATATGCATTTCTAAAAGAACAAATATTCCATGTAGTCTCTGAATTATTATAAGGTAAAATGTATGCATGCATAATAATTATAAAATGGTTGCAAAATGTTTTTTTAAACAGTTTTCAGTGATCTATAGCAAGTCATACATTGTGAAATAAATTTACCTAACAAAAACACTGCTCTGACATTGTCTTTAGATTACCGAAGTACTTTGTCATCCCATCAGCACTAGGGGATTTATTCAGCTACCAAGGAAAGGGATTTCCAGTGAGTAAGAATATTAACCTAATAAGATCTGCATTTAAATCATTTTTATGAATGTTGCTATAATGTTTTTTTTTATTGCAAGGTTGGATTTTGTGTACAAATTGTCATTTGTATAGCTGATTGTAATTGACGTTTGATGCCTGTTATTTTTCTTTTTTTAGATTTGGTGTTGGTCTCATCACAGCGGTTGTGCTCTCTTCAAAGCATCTTTACCGCCTGTGACACAGGAAGATGGGGATTTCCAAAAGCACTTGGACATGTAAAGGAATATTCTGGTTTTTTTTTTACTCTGTTTACTATACTGTTTATTTATCCCATGAGATCAGCCAGTCTGCTGCGATACCTTCATGATTATTTGTGCCCTGAGTTTCTGTGTTTTTATGTGCTGACACTCAAGGCCACTGTTCTTTATCAAAGAACAACATGGCAGAATGTTATCTAGTAGTGTGCTAGACAACGTCAGCATGAACCAATATACTCTCTTTGTGTTTTTCTGCTCTCTGTTCAACTGAAGGACAAAAATAGTTATGTAATATGGTGTCCACAGCAAAAACAGACAAAAAGTAGTATTGTCTTATCTTGACTGTCAGTAGTACCTTCACATTGACAGTTATTTTTTTATTTTATTTTTTTTCAGAATGATAAATGCAGTTGCACATAATTACCTTTACTCTGCAAAAACAGAGGACCTCTCAGAATCACTTCCTACTATCCAAGACATCCAGCAATCATATAACAAGTTCAAACAATTCTTTCTTATCGGTGAGTCACAGAATACACATATATATATTAAATGAAAGGATGGATATTTCGTTTGCAATCACTGAGTAATGTTTCTTTATTTGTCTCTTAGAAAATTCAACTGATTTTTGGTTGTCAGATGTGAAATGGTTCTCTTCCCTTGAAAGTTCAGGATGGCTAGACATTATTAGGTCAGCTTACATTGATAAAATCCTAAATTGTGTGATTTACTATTTGTATTCCTGTTCATAATCATTTCAAGATTCTATGAAACTATTATCAAACTGCATTTAATGTTCACAACAGACAATGTCTCCAAAAAGCAGTAGAGGTGGTTGAATGTCTTGAAAAGGACAACACAAATGTTCTTATAACAGGTAGGTCAAGCATGTTTCAACTAAATTTGACTTTCCAAAGATTCTGGTGCTCCAACATGTTAGCTTCTGGGTTAACCAATAGTGTGAGTTTGGGATGGGACCACACCTGTTTGTCCATGTGTGCTAGGAGTATCTGAGGGAACTGTTCTACTTGGAACCACAAGTAGTGCAGAAACTGCACACCTTATCTTTAAAAATGAAGTACTTTTAAACCTTGATCGATCTACTGTATCCCTTTGCCTTTGAGGGTGCATCCCCTGGTGTTTTGTCTTGATATTGATTGATTTGCAGAGGAAGAGGGAACAGATCTGTGCTGTGTGATCTCCAGTCTGGTTCAGATAATGCTGGACCCTTATTACAGAACACTGATGGGTTTCCAGAGTCTGGTGCAGAAGGAGTGGGTGGCTGGTTGCCATGCCTTCCTGGATCGATGTAATCACCTCCATCAGAAAGACAAGGAGGTAATTATTGCATGCTCGTTCCTGCCTGTTGTTTCTTCAGAGGCTTAGTGGAAATGTTACTGTTTTGTATTTGCCCATTTTCGTTATTCTTCACCTCTGAGAATTACAGGCTATTTTGCAGCCAAAAAAGCAACCTGCAAACCTGTCTTTTATCAGGATGTAAAATCATGTCCTGGAACACGTTTGTCTGGAATAATTGATTCTGATTGGTCAGTCTTGGCATTCTGCAGTCAGATATTTTGTATGAAGACTACTGAACTCTACTGTGACTACTCAGTTCAGCTAATCTGCACTACTATCATGTTTTTAATGGCACGCTGCAGTCTCTTTAAAGGGGTCATATGATGCTGCTAAAAAGAACATTATTTTGTGTATTTGGTGTAATGAAATGTGTTTATGTGGTTTAAAGTTCAAAAAACACATTATTTTCCACATACTGTACATTATTGTTTCTCCTCTATGCCCCGCCTTTTTGAAACGCGTCGATTTTTACAAAGCTCATCGGTCTGAAAAAGTGAGGTGTGCTGTGATTGGCCAGCTATTCAGTGCGTTGTGATTGGCCGAATACCTCAAGCGTGTGATGGAAATGTTACGCCCCTTACCATACTGTTGATGCAGTGTCCGGCTGGAGCGAGGAGACATAAACATTAAAACCCATTACAAACGAGGCATTTGTTGCATCCAGTGGGGACATAATTACTGATTATAATGACTTATACTGTCTTTTTACGCGTTGCCTTGCGTTGCATCGCGCCGCGTAAACAAAACCATGT